GGAGAAGTATAAATGGAAATATATAGCTTGCATTTGTATAGTGCTTTAGTACTAAATTCTTGTGTATAAACAATCTAATTTGGTATTTACAATAACCTTGAGAGGTAGGAAAGAGATAAGGCTGTCTGGGCAGTCAGCCACCTCCTGGGCTGCCGTGACAACAAAAGAGAGGGCCCAAATCCTGCAGGAGGATGTCATTATGAAGAAGCAGGTGCAGAGAACCACAGAGACCTGACCCACGCAAGGGAACTCAGTTGGCTTGGGAATCTTTTCATCTCTCTTCCTGGAGGTACAGGTCACCAGTTACCACAGGAGAGAAAAACAGCCCTTAAAAAATATGCTCAACAATGGAATAGAACTGAGAGTTCAGAAATGAACCTGTACAATTATGTTCGATCGGTTGTGACAAGAATACTAAGACAATTAAATGGGGAAGAAAATATTTTTAACAAACGGTGCTGGGGCAACTGGATTTCCACATATAAAAGAATGAAATTGGACCCTTTTCTAATACCATATACAAAATTTGGGGCTAGGTGCAGTGGCTTATGCCTATAATCCCGGCACTTTGGGAAGCCGAGGTGGGCGGATTGCTGGAGCTTAGGAGTTTGAGACCAGCCTGGGCAATATGGTGAAACTCCATCTCTACAAAAAAATTAGCTGGGCGTGGTGGCGCACGTCTGTAGTACCAGCTACTTGGGAGACTGAGGTGGGAGGATCGCTTGAGCCCAAGAGGTTGAGGCTGCAGTGAGCCATGATCGTGCCTCTGCACTCCAGCCTAGGTGACAGAGTAAGACCCTGTCTCAAAAAAAAAAAAAAAAAGTCAACTAAAAATAGACCTTGATGTAAGAACTAAAACTATAAAACTTTTAGAAGAAAACATAGGCAACAAATCTTTGTAACCTTGGATTAGTCAATGGTTTCTTAGATATGACACCAAAAGCGTTAAGTGATGAAAGAAAAAACAGACAAATTGGTCTTCATCAAAATTTAAAACTTTTGTGCTTCAATGGGCACCATCAAGAAAATGAAAAGACAGCCAGGCACCGTGGCTCATGCTTGTAATCCCAACACTTTGGGATGCCGAGGCAGGTGGATTACCTGAGGTCGGGAGTTCGAGACCAGCCTGGCCAACATGGATAAACCCCATCTCTACTAAAAATACAAAAATTAGCCAGGCATGGTGATTCATGCCTGTAATCCCAGCTACTCGGGAGGCTGAGGCAGGAGAATTGCTTGAACCTGGGAGGCAAAGATTGCGGTGAGCCGAGATCGCGCCATTGTACTCTAGCCTGGGCAACAAAAGCGAAATTCCATCTCAAAAAAAAAAAAAAAAAAAAAAAAAGATAGAAAATGAAAAGACAACCCATGGGATGAGAAAAGATATTTGCAAAGTATGTACAGCAGCCCCCACTTATCCTCAGTGGGTACATTCCAAGACTCTGAATGGATGCCTGAAATTGAAGAAAGCACCAAGTCCTATAACACTATATTTTTTCTTATACATACATACCTATAACAAGGTTTAATTTATAAATTAGGTGCAGTAAGAGATTAGCAATAACTAACAATAAAATAGAACAATTATTCTGTAATAAAAGTTATGTAAATGTGGTCTCTCTTTCTCTATCAAAATATCTTCTTGTTCTATCCTCACATGACACAATACGGATGTGATGAGATGAAGTGAGGTGGATGATGTCGTGTTAAGCTGTGACGTAGCTTTAGCTACTATTGACCTCCTGTATTCCTGCATCTGCGTAACCATCCCTTGCAGTGAATGACTTGGAGTCACTTTTCAGGGGATCTTTTGCTGACGTCTTCTAGTAGGCTCAGTGCTTTCTGGCACCACAATCAGGACACATTTCTGTCCATGTCTTCACAAATGTATAATGGCTTTTCCTTCTTTTTTTTTTTTTTTTTTTTTTTTTTTTTTTTTTTTTTTTTTTTTTTTGAGATGGAGTCTTGCTCTGTCGCCCAGGCTAGAGTGCAGTTCACTGCAAGCTCCACCTCCCGGGTTCACGCCATTCTCCTGCCTCAGCCTCCCGAGTAGCTGGGACTACAGGGGCCCGCCACCATGCCTGGCTAATTTTTTTTGTATTTTTAGTAGAGATGGGGTTTCACCATGTTAGCCAGGATGGTCTTGATCTCCTGACCTGGTGATCTGCCTGCCTTGGCCTCCCAAAGTGCTGGGATTACAGGTGTGAGCCACTGCGCCTGGCCTCCTTTTCCTTCTTTTATTTTATTTTTATTTTTATTTTTTTTTTTTTTGAGACGGAGTCTCACTCTGTCGCCCAGGCTGGAGTGCAGTGGCCGGATCTCAGCTCACTGCAAGCTCCGCCTCCCGGGTTCACGCCATTCTCCTGCCTCAGCCTCCCGAGTAGCTGGGACTACAGGCGCCTGCCACCTCACCCAGCTATTTTTTTGTATTTTTTAGTAGAGATGGGGTTTCACCGTGTTAGCCAGGATGGTCTCTCCTTTTCCTTCTTAACTAAGCACTGGTTACACACCGTGGCTACAACTTTTGCGGTTTGAGGTGTGGCTGCAAAACGAATATGAATTTCTTTTTCCTTCTTCAAAATTTCATGGATAGATTCATGATCTTAGGATCTTCAACATACAGCCGATCTTTTTCTTTCTGAAGCCGAGAACTTTCACCTTTTCCCTTAAAGGAAGCACCGTTTGGCCTCTCTTTGGCAGATCTAAATTGTGGCACGGGTACTCTCGTGCTTTGGGGCCCTTTATGAAGTAAAATAAGGGTTCCGTTCCTTGAACACTAGCGCTGCGATGCTGAGACAGTCCTTCTGATAACTGAGATGGCCCCTATGTGACTCGCAGGTGGGTCGCGTGTACATTGTGGCTCTGCTGGACACAGGAATGATTTGTGTCTTGAGTCGGCGAAATCTCATCACTCTCCTCAGAATAGCGTGCAATGTAAAACTTATGAATGGTTTGTTTTTGGAATTTCCCATTTAATATTTTTGGACCAAAGTCAACCCCAGGTAACTGAAACCTCAGAAAGTGAAACTTTAGATAAGGGAGGGACTACTGTATGTTAGAGACTCATGTTCAGAATATATAAAAAACTCATAGCTGGCACAGTGGTGCATACCGGTGATCCCAGCTACTTAGAAAGCTGAGGCAGGATTGCTTAAGTCCGGGAGTTTGAGGCTGTAGTGTGCCCTGACTGTGCCTGGGAACAGGCACTACACTCCACCCTGGACAACATAGTGAGACCCAGTCTCTTAAAAAAACCACAACTTATTTTCTAAAAAAGAACTCTCACAACTCAATAATAAAAATACAAGTAACTCAATTAAAAAATGGGCAAGGGGCTAGGCACGGTGGCTCATGCCTGTAATCTTAGCACTTTGGGAGGCCGAGGTGGGTGGATTTCCTGAGTTCAGGAGTTCAAGAATAGCCTGGGCAACATGGTGAAACCCTGTCTCTACTAAAATACAAAAAATTAGCTGGGTGTGGCGGCAGGCACCTGTAGTCCCAGCTACTCGGGAGGCTGAGGCAGGAGAATTGCTTGAACCCGGGAGGCAGAGGTTGCAGTGAGCTGAGATCGTGCCACTGCACTACACCCTGGGAAACAGAGTGAGACTCCGTCTCAAAAAAAAAAAAAAAAGGGCAAGGGATTTGAATAGACATTCTCCCAAGAGATGTACAAATGGCCAATGAGCCCATGGAAAAGATGTTCAACTTCACTAGCTGTCAGGGAAATCCAAATAAAATCACAATGAGAAACGCTTCGTGCCCACTAAGATGGAAAAAATAAAGACAGACAATAGCAAATATTGGCAAAGCAATGGAGAAATTGGAATCCTTATACATTGCTAGTAGGATTGTAAAATGGTGAGGACACTTTGGAAAACAGATCGGCAGTTCTTCAAAATGTTAAACATAGAATTATCATGTGACCTCATTATTTCTACTCCTAGAGAATTGAAACATATCTACACAAAAACTTGTACAGCAATGCTCATAGCAGCATAATATTGTTCATAATAGCTAAGCTTTAGAAACAACCCCAATGTCCATCAACTGATGAATGTGTAAACAAAATGTGGTATATTCATACAGTAGAGTATTTATTCAGCCATAAAAAGGAATGAAGTAGTTATATATACTATAATATATGTGAACCTTGAAACTGGTATGCTAAGTGAAAAAAGCCAGGCCCGGTGCAGTGGCTCAGGCCTGGGAGGCAGAGGTGGGCGGATCACCTGAGGTCAGGAGTTAGAGACCAGCCTGGCCAACATGACAAAACTCCGTCTCTACTAAAAATACAAAAATTAGCCAGGTGTGGTGGAGTGCACCTCTAATCCCAGCTACTCGGGAGGCTGAGGCAGGAGAATTGCTTGAACCTGGGAGGTGGAGGTTGCAGTGAGCCAAGATCGCCCCATTGAACTCCAGCGTGGGTGACAAGAGCGAAACTCCGACTCAAAAACAAAAACAAACAAACCAAAAGACAAAACAAAACAAAACAAAAAACAAAAAACAAAAGAAAAAAGCCAGTCACAAAAGGCCACATATTATATGACTCCGTTTATATGAAATGTCCAGAATAAGCAAATCCATAGAGACAGAAAATAGATTAGTGGTTGCCAGGGGCTTGGGGGTGGAGGAAAGGGAATGAGTGATAAAGGGCATGGAGTTTCTTTCTTCTTTCTTTTTTTTATTTTTGAGACGGAGTCTCACTCTTGTCGCCCAGGCTGGAGGGCAGTGGCCGGATCGCCGCTCACTGCAAGTTCCGCCTCCCAGGTTCACGCCATTCTCCTGCCTCAGCCTCCTGAGTAGCTGGGACTACAGGTGCGCGCCAGGACGCCTGGCTAATTTTTTGTGTATTTTTAGTAGAGACAGGATTTCACCGTGTTAGCCAAGATGGTCTCGATCTCCTGACCTTGTGATCCACCCACCTCAGCCTCCCATAGTGCTGGGATTACAGGTGTAAGCCACTGCGCCTGGCCTCTTCTTCCTTTTTCTTTTTCTTTTTGCAATTGTTATTTAGTTTTTATTTCATAATCATAAACTTAACTCTGCAATCCAGCTAGGCATGCAAGAGAATAAGGCAAACATGGAACCCAAAGGGAACTGAGAGAGAGAGCACAAAGATTAGAGGCTACTGTGAGCAATTGAGGTGGAGGGTGCTCTCCGGAGCTACAAAAGGAATGATCCGGTGGTAAAGATAAAACACAAGTCAAACTTACTAGAGTTGTCCACAGTCGGCAATGGTGATCTTCTTGCCGGTCTTGCCATTCCTGGACCCAAAGTGCTCCATGGGCTCTGCAATATTCATGCCTTCTTTCACCTTGCCAAGGACCACATGCTTGCCATCCAACCACTCAGTCTTGGCAGTGCAGTTGCAAAACTGGGAACCATTTGTGTTGGGTCCAGCACGTGCCATGGACACAATGCCAGGACCTGTCTGCTTCAGGATGAAGTTCTTATCATCAAATTTCTCCCCGTAGATGGACTTGCCACCAGTGCCATTACGGTGTGTGAAGTCACCACCCTGACACATAAACCCTGGAATAATTCTGTGAAAGCCGAAACCCTTATAACCGAATCCCTTCTCTCTAGTGCTTGGAGCAGGGAAGTTTTCTACTGTCTTTGGAAACTTGTCTGCAAACAGCTCGAAGGAGACGTAGCCCAAGGGCTCCCTGTTGATGGCAATGTCAAAGAACACGGTGGGGTTGACCATGGCTGGGCATATATGTACTACAATATATGTGACATGGCATGACAGGGCTCCCGGCAACATCGGAATCTGTGGTACGGGGTTTCTTTCAGGGGTAGTGAAATGTTCTGACATTAGTAGTGATGGTTGTACAACTCTGAATATTCTAAAAGCCACTCAGTTGTGTGCTTTAAAAGGGGTGATTTTGGCCGGGCGCGGTGGCTCAAGCCTGTAATCCCAGCACTTTGGGAGGCCGAGACGGGCGGATCACGAGGTCAGGAGATCGAGACCATCCTGGCTAACACGGTGAAACCCCGTCTCTACTAAAAAATACAAAAATCTAGTCAGGCGAGGTGGCGGGCGCCTGTAGTCCCAGCTACTCCGGAGGCTGAGGCAGGAGAATGGCGTAAACCCGGGAGGCGGAGCTTGCAGTGAGCTGAGATCCGGCCACTGCACTCCAGCCTGGGTGACAGAGCAAGACTCCGTCTCAAAAAAAAAAAAGGGGGGGGGGGGAGGGGGATTTTATGGTATATGAATTATATCTTGATAAAGCTGTGGTTTAAAAAAATATTTCTGGCCGGGTGCGGTGGCTCACACCTGCAATCCCAGCACTTTGGGAGGCCGAGGTGGGCGGATCACGAGGTCAGGAGATCGAGATGTTTCACTCTTATTGCCCAAGCTAGAGTGCAATGGCGTGATTTCGGCTCCCCGCAACCTCCGCCTCCCAGGTTTCAAGTGATTCTCCTGCCTCAGCCTCCTGAGTAGCTGGAATTACAGGCATGAACGAACCACCACGCCTGGCTAATTTTGTATTTTTAGTAGAGACAGGGTTTCTCCGTGTTGGTCAGGCTGGTCTTGAACTCCTGACCTCAGGTGATCCACCCACCTCGGCCTCCCAAAGTGCTGGGATTACAGGCCTGAGCCACCGCCACAGGCTAGGCTTATTGTTTCTCACTGTGCTTTCTAGAGAAACAATGAGTCTTTTCTCTTCAACACGGCCACTGTCCAAGATGAGAGGTAGCAACCATGTCTCTCTTATTTATTTATTTATTTATCATTTTTATTTTTTTGAGACGGAGTCTCGCTCTGTCGCCCAGGCTGGAGTGCAATGGCGTGATCATGATCTTGGCTCACTGCAAGCTCTGCCCTCCGGGTTCACCCCATTCTCCTGCCTCAGCCTCCCGAGTAGCTGGGACTACAGGTACCCGCCACCATGCCCAGGTAATTTTTTGTATTTTTAGTAGAGACGGGATTTCACCGTGTTCGCCAGGATGGTCTTGATCTCCTGACCTCATGATCCGCCCGCCTCGGCCTCCCAAAGTGCTGGGATGACAGGCGTGAGCCACCGCACCCGGCTGCAACCATGTCTAAGCAAGTCTCCTTTTCTCCAGGAGAAACACAGTGCCTTCAATGATTCCCCAGGAGAGGAGTTCTCTATATCCTGATGCTCTGTCATCCTCTCGTGAATGGACTGCAGATTGTCCACATCTCTCCTAAACTATGCTGCCTGTATTTAAGTAAAGCTGGCCTAAGAAGCTCAGAGGGAGCCCTGGTTCACTTAATGCAATTCCTTCCCTTGGTGCAGCCGAAGAGGGCTGAGGTTGTTCGGGCAGCCTCCTCACCTGCTGCGGCTCATATAGAAACTGAGAGTCAGTGCAAACCCTCAGATGTTTTCCTGGATCTTTTCCATATGAAAAACGGCCAGTTTGTCGATGTGCATCTGACTTCTCCCTTTTAAATGCTGACTGTCAAGTTCAATCTTAATTTCTTTTGACTCGCTCAGCAATCCCATCTTAACTTTCACATCTCATTTTAGCTCTTTCCCCCAGTTTTTGGTTAAGCACAAACTTACCAAGCAAGACATTATGCTTTTTTTTTTTTTGAGATGGAGTCTAGCTTTGTTGCCAGGCTGGGGTGCAGTGGTGCAATCTCAGCTCATTGCAACCTCCACCTCCCAGGTTCAAGCGATTCTCATGCCTCAGCCTCCCAAGTAGCTGAGATTACAGGTGTGTGCCGCCATGCCTGGCTAATTTTTGTATTTTTAGTAGAGATGAGGTTTCACCATGTTGGTCAGGCTGGTCTTTAACTCCTGACCTCCAGTGATCTGCCCGCCTCGGCCTCCCAAAGTGCTGGGATTACAGGTGTGAGCCACTGTGCCCGGCCATTAGGTGTATTTCACCACAGTAAAAAATGATAAATTACAAAAAAATGGTGATATGCCAGGGACAATGCCATGTGCAGCTCGTTGTCTGGCCCTGTCTCCAGGGCGTCCTGCTCTAGGACGTCAGGCCCGGAATCCCAGGAAGCAGGGGAGGAGAAGGAGGTACCTCTTCATTCCAGGCGCAGGATACAGCCCAGCTCTGCCGTGGTTGCGCACAGTGACGATCTCTCTCTGCCTCTCAGGCCAGGAACATATGAGTAAGCTTTGACTCATATCTGTCTTTTCTCCAAGTGCCTAATCTTGCCTGGTCTTAATTAAAAACGTCTCCTTCCCTTTCTTACACTCACTCATTCCTCCACAGGTTTTCACCGAGACCCACAAAGCGCAGTCACTGACCCTGTACCCAGACACCTTGGTGAGCAGGGACAGCCTGGTCGCACTGTTAAAGGAAAGGGGTCCCGATCCAGACCCCAAGAGAGGGTTCTTGGATCTTGCTCAAGAAAGAATTCAGGGCGAGTCTGCAGTGCAAAGCAAAAGCAAGTTTATTAAGAAAGTCAAGTGGTGAAAGAACAGCTACTCCCTGGACAGAGCAGGGCGTTCCAAAAGTAAGAGGAGGAATGCGTCCACCCTAAGTACAATGCTTGTATATATATAGGATAAAAAAAGATCATAGGGAGGAGATGTGCTCTGCTACAGGGGTTTGTCATAAAGGATTCCTTTTTTAAATTACCACATTTTGCAAGAATCAATGTTATTATCTTTGAAGAAAAATTAGGAATGCCTTTGTTCTCAAGATATCGGGATATCTGGACACTCCCAAGTTTGGGTTCGTTTAGTAAACATTATTAATTCATTTCCTTAACTGTAAACATCTAGAGGTTGGGAATACCTTTCTGGGAATGCAGCCCAGATTCTGGGAATGCAAGTCCCAACTGCATTTTCCTAGCCCTCACTCAAGATGGAGTCGCTCTGGTTCAAACACCTCTGACACCCCCTCTACAAGCTCCCGGGATGTTTAAACAAGCCATTCCCAGAGAGGCGATGCAGAGGTGCAGGGCAGGCCCTGAGCCCTGGCCACAGGCGATGCTTAAGCTGAGCGCTGAAAGGAGGGGTAAGAGTTCAGCAGGCGAGTTGTTAGAAGACTTGCATTTCAAGCAGAAGATCTGGAAAGACGCGCTGACCGATTGGCGAAAGGCTGTGAGCTGTGGGTGGTGCGGAGACTGCGGAAGCTGAGGACATGGAGCTAAGGCGGGCTCAGACTTCCTCCTGAGGGCAACAGTTTTTAGCTGGGGAGGAACATGACCAAATCTGCCTTTCCCAGTGACCTCTCTGATCTCTTTGATGCAGTGTAGATCCGTGCTTAGCAAACTCAGAAGGCCCTGTCACCAGCAGGAAGGAAGAGACCCCACGACTGAGGGCAGTGGTAGGTTTAGGGGCCGGCCACAGGTGGGACCGAAAGGGGTAGCTGTGGATGGGCTGTAGGGGTGAGAGGGGAGGAGGAGTGGAGGGGTGATGATGCCTTCTATCGGGAGGGGAACATGCTAGAAGCAGTTCTGGGGGGAGGTGGGAAGGGTGAGTAAGCAGATGAAGGATTGGGTCTTGGAGATGCTGCTAGTTTGGCTTTGACGGTGCAGGTCCTCTGCTATGAGGTGAGTGGCTGTGCCCGCCAGCTCCTCTTCTCACTCCCTTCTAGGGCTATGAGATTTGTGACCCTTTCCTCTGCCTGCCTCTGCCCCTGCCCCTTGGGACCCTGCTGGACCAGGCATCCATCCTATGGAACTTTCCATGAAGTGTTGACCTCCCTGCCCCTGAGGCATTGGGTGAGTGGCAGGTGAGAGCTGCTCTCAGGGCATTAAAGGGGTTCAAAATAGCACCCAAGGCCGGGCATGGTAGTTTACACCTGTAATCCCAGTACTTTGGGAGGCTGAGGCGGGCAGATCACCTAAGGTCAGGAGCTCGAGACCAGCCTAGCCAACATGGAGAAACCCCTTTTCTACTAAAAATACAAAACATCTCCGGGCATGGTGGTGTGGGCACCTGTAATCCCAGCTACTTGGGAGGCTGAGGCAGGAGAATCGCTTGAACCCGGGAGGCAGAAGTTACAGTGAGCAAGATCGCACTATCGCACTCCAGCCTGGGCAAAAAGAGTGAGACTCCATCTCAAAAAAAAAAAAATTGCACCTAAGCCCAAGCCCAGAAGGTGGCCCCGAAACTGGGCCTTCCTTTGAAGCTAGGCCTGGTATTTGCCATGATTGTGCCTCCTTCCCCACGTCACCAACGTTGACTGCCCTCCATTACCTGGTGCTGCCTGGGCGCTGCGTGGGTGCTGGCGTGTGAAATGGCAACGTGAGGCCATATCTACTGAGCCAGGTATCTTAGTGCTTTACACAGAGAAGTGAAACCTCCTAGCTACCCTGTGAGTTAGGGACCATTGATTCCCATTTTTCAGATAAGGAAATAACCAAGGCACGGAGTGGTTGGTAGGTGGACTAAGGTCACCCAACAGCTGGAGGCAAAAGGAGACACGTGTCTCCACCAGGAGCCACCAGCTGTCCCCTCCTTCTCCATCCCACAGATTGAGTGAAGGCTTGGGCTACTCCGGCTGGACAGTATCAAGTGTTACATTCTGTAGAGCCAGGATGTTCCTCCAATCCTTTAATCCCAAATATTTTGTTTTGTTTTGTTTTGTTTTGTTTTGCGGCAGAGTCTTGCTCTGTCATCCAGGCTGGAGTGCAGTGGTGCAATCTCAGCTCACTGCAACCTCTGCCTCCCGGGTTCAAGTGATTCTCCTACCTCAGCCTCCCGAGTAGCTGGGACTACAGATGTGTGCCACCACACCCAGCTAATTTTTATATTTTTTGTTGAGACAGGGTCTTACCATATTGGCCAAGCTGGTCATGAACTCCTGACCTCGAGTGATCTGCCCGCCTCAGCCTCCCAAAGGGCTGGGATTACAGGCATGAGCCACCACACCTGGCCTAATCCCAAATTTTAAACCTGCTTCTTGTTCTGCCTCCAGTGAAATCAAAGATCCCTCTGCTGCTGTCCCTATGGGAATGTGGACAGGGATGACACCTCTCGCCAGCTCTGGGTGGCCCCTCTGGTCCTGCCCTTCACTGTCCAGCTCCTCAAGTCCTCCTCAATTCCCCTCTTCTCCAGCCCGACTGCCACTGTCCCCACCTGAGTACAGACCTTCATAATTTCCCACTGGGCCCCCTCCTCTAGTCCCTCCAGTCCCTCTCCTAGTCTATTTATTTATTTATTTATTTAATTTTATTTTATTTTGAGATGGAGTTTCGCTCTTGTTGCCCAGGCTGGGGTGCAATGGTGCGATCTCAGCTTACTGCAACCTCCGCCTCCCAGGTTCAAGTGATTTTCCTGCCTCAGCCTCCCGAGTAGCTGGGATTACAGGCATGCACCACCACACCTGGCTAATTTTGTATTTTTAGTGGAGATGGGGTTTCTCCATGTTGGTCAGGCTGGTGTTGAACTCCCAACCTCAGGTGACCCGCCCGCCTCAGCCTCCCAAAGTGCTGGGATTATAGGCGTGAGCCACTGCACCTGGCCCCTAGTCCATTTTTATACACAGCTCTGAGGATGCTCCAATCTGACCACAGCATCTGCTCACTTAGCGCCCTGCCCCAGCGTCTCATCGCCTTGGGGATAAAATCCACACTCTGAGAGTCAGTGCAAAGTTCTTGGCGTGGCCGCTGCCCTCTCCATTTCCCCAGGCCTTGCTCTACTGCACAAGTCCCTCTCTCAGCGCCTCCCGAAGGCCAGCTCCCTGGCAGGGCTGATGGTGATAAAGTGTTCAGTAGTCAGCAATAAAGAGGGAAAAACAGCAATACTGATTCATAGATACGAAATCAACCAGATGTATCAGCCAAGTTGCCAGCACTCCTTTCTTGGTCACAGTATCTTTTATTCCAAATGTCCTTTCTATTTATTTTTTGTAGTTGAGATATTATTACTTCTTTTGTAAAATGGTGGTGAGAACAAAGGACTATTTTTTTAAATGTCCTTACTTGGCAAACTAAAAAATGTTTGCAGCTCTAGTAAGACTCCATTTGCATCTTGACAACTCAGTGGTGTGCAGGGGCTGGCCCACAGGTGGCCACACAGATGTGACTCCCTGGGCCATTTACTCTTCTGCCAGAAATATGCCCCCCGACCCATGGCTTGCTCATTCCCCACCATCCTTCAATGCAGGTCTTCCCTGACGTTTTTTTTTTAAGATGGAGTTTCGCTCTTTTTGCCCAAGCTGGAGTGCAGTGGTGCAACCTCAGCTCACTGCAACCTCTGCCTCCCGGGTTCAAGCAATTCTCATGCCACAGTGTCCAGAGTAGCTGGGATTACAGGCATGTGCCACCATGCCTGGCTAATTTTTTGTATTTTTAATAGAGACGAGGTTTCACCATGTTGGCCAGGCTGGCCTCGAACTTCTGACCTCAGGTGATCCACCCGCCTCCGCCTCCCACACTGCTGGGATTACAGGTGTGAGCCACCATGTCTGGCCTTCCCTGACCTTTCTTCCCCCAAAGCCCATCCTTGCATGAGTGCATCATCCAGAACTCAGCACTGCAACCATTTGCACATCTGCCTCCCCATGGACCTCGGTTGGTGGAAACCAGGCCCCCTCACATTTCCTTTTCCAGAGCCCAGCGCAGCCCTGCCCTGACTGCCCATACACAGAGCAGGTTTGCAAAAAGCCTGACAGAGAATGAATGACTCCAGCTTCCTCCTCAGCAGCAGGTGGAGGTAGGGGCACCCAGCCCTCTGCTGGCTTCACCTGTCGGTGCCAGTGCAGTTGAACTGGGCTCTCCAGGCACTGCCTGCCTGCTGGGCCTCAGCACCAACAAGGGCTTCAAGGGCCCCAGCTGGGTGCCATGGACCGCTCTCCAATTCCACTAGGAGATCAGGGGCTGGGGTGCCTCATCTGGCCCTAAAGCCCCATGACACTGACCTGGTGCCTGTGTGATTCTTCCTCACCGTTCCCAGACAGGGGCCAGGAAATGGAATGAAAGCAGCCACTCTCTGAAGAGCTGGAGACTATCATCTGCCTCTGGAAGCCCAGGGAACCTCGGCTCAGACAGAAGGACACAGACTGCGGGAAGGGAGGAGACTGTGACAGAGAAGCAGAGGAGGGTGACAGAGTCAGGGAAGAACAAAACAGCCTGCAGTGGGAGCAGAGACAGAAATGTGGGGGACCCACAGGGAGGGGACGGAGGGGAGGGAGGGAGGGAGGGAGGGGAGGGGAGGGGAAGTAGGGAGGGAGGGGAGCAGAGGGGAGGAGGGGAGGGAGGGACAGCTGCCATCCAAGTGGCCGTGGGAGCCTGGGGCTGGGAGAGGCACCCTCCTCCTGTTGGCTTCTCATACAGTCTCTATCAGGGGACCCAGGACACAAGAAGCGAATTCATCTTTGGGTCCACTCTTCAGTTCTAAAAGTCTAGGGCCTGGCTAGGTCCTCTGAAGGAGTCTCTGGCCCCAGGCAGCTTCCTGCCCCGCTATGTGGCCCCCCAAGGCCTTCTCAAGAGCCCTTCAGTAAATAAATTTACTGGAGGACATCAATGATTGGTCATATGAGGTGTTCCTAGGGGAGAAAATGACATTTAGTTTTTAGCTCACTTGGAGCCATTTGCTTTAAGAAGCACCTCTTGGCCGGGTGCGGTCGCTCACACCTGTAATCCCAACACTTTGGGAGGCCAAGGAGGGTGGATCACCTGAGGTCAGGAGTTCAAGACCAGCCTGGGCAACATAGTGAAACCGTGTCTCTACTAAAAATACAAAAATTAGCTGGGCATGATGGCATATGCCTGTAATCCCAGCTGCTTGGGAGGCTGAGGTGAGAGAATTGCTTGAACCCAGGAGGCGGAGGCTGCAGTGAGCCGAGATCACACCACTGCACTCCTGCCTGGGTGACACAGTGAGACTAGGTCTCAAAAAAAAAAAAAAAAAAAAAAAAAAAGGAAGCACCTCGAGAGAGCTTTTCCTGCAGATGTCACAGGCAAAATGTCTCACGTTGTGGGGAATGTGGCAGTGGACTTCTGGGGCCAAGCCGAGGCCCCCACATGCCATCCCCCTTGAGAGCAGGGTGGCTGGGTTGACAGATGTGCAGAGGAGGACAGAAGTGGGGCAATGCCTTTTCTCTAATGGTCAGCTGGCGGGAAAGACTCCAGGGGCTTCTGAGGAGAGACCCGAAGAGGAGTCTGGATGGGCCTCGGCTGGGGGAGGCTGGTGCCTACCTGGCACATGGGCACTGTGGGGGTGCAATGGGGCATAGCGTGGGAGGTGTCATGGGGGGTCTTTACACTGGGTACTAAAGAGCTTAGGAGCCTGAGCTACCTGGTGTGGGGCAATCACATTTACTGCTATGTCCAGGCAAAGAGGAGCAGCTGGGCTTGGACCCCACAGTGACATGAAGTGGCCAGGACTAGGCACTAGGCCAACGTGAGCCCCAGGGGTGCTTGGATTTATCAACTGAAGAAGGGCCTATGGAAGGGGAGAAAACAATTCTCTAGACAGATGAGAGCACCCGGTCACATCCACCTGGACCTGACATCACACCCCAGGCTGTGCAGGAGCAGTCACAGAACTAGAGTGGGGAATGACTTATTAGAGCCTCTTCCAACAGCTGTGGGCCCTGGAACCTAAGAACTCACCTTTGGAGAACATTTTTGGGTCTGAGAGCTTTGAGGCCAGGCCTTGAGACAAACCCACCCAGAAGCCCTGAGCTACTTTTGCTGTAAGAGTAGGAGGGCCCTGCCCCTGCTCCAGGAGCCGTCCCTGGATCCCTGGAAGAGCAGGAAACACTGACTGATCCATAGGGGCAATGAGGCTAGAGGCCGAGATCGGCCGGAACCAGGGGACCAGCTGAGCGTGTGATTCCTGTGGCTCCAGGCCACCTCTAAGGGTCTCCCAGTGGCTGAGAGGGATTAGAGGACTGTGGCTTCTTGGGTGAGGGAGCCTCTGGGTTACAGTCACCATGCCCTTTGAATCTAATCTGCTCTCGACAAGGATCAGCTGACCTGATAGGTGTGCACAGCAGGAGGCAACAGCCAGGGCCAAGAGAAGCATAAAGGATGGAGTAGAAGAGGGAGCAGAGCAGGGTCAGGTGAGACCTCTCACTCAGGACAGTTGTGCAGCTGACTTGCTGAGACCTTGGAGTGAGTCGCCGAGGTCAGTGTGCCCAGTTGGGGCATCTTCCAGGCTGTGGCTCTGTCACCCTGCAGTTTTGGCTTAGGGCAGCCACCCCATCCTCACTGCTGTCCTGGGATGAGAAGTGGGGTGGAGAACCAGGGGCTGGGTGTGCGGCCAGAGCTGGAGCAGCTTCAGGAGCCAGGTGAAACCTAAGAGCCTCACAGGCTTTGAACAAAGTGCAGGAGTCCCAGCCCTGCCGTTTATGGCAGGTTCCTGGAGGTGATCAGTCATTATCAGCAGTGTGTTCACTCTGCTGATACCACCCAAGGCCATGATCATCCCTCACCCCAGGCCTTGCACACTTGCTTCCCTGTCCTAGACAGCCAGGGCTGTTCCTGCTCTTCGCTGCCCCCTGGCACTCACAGAGCAGCTGACTGACTGACCTACCAACTTAGGGAGAAAAGTGGGGAGGTGGGGACTGAGGACACGCTGGGGACACAGCCTCTTCGTGATTTCCTTCCTGGAGGGGAGAGGCGGCCAGGGCAATGCAATGCTGGGGCTGCAGTACCTCTGCTCAGCCGCAGCACTGGCTGCAGGGCAAACCTTCAGGGCTGGACGAGGGGAGCTCAGCCTGATGTCCAGGTTTGCTGGCATGTGAGGGACGTGGTCAGGCACAGCTACAGCCATGGGTCTATGGACGGTTCCTGGATCCCAGGACTCGCTGGTGGGGTCCCTGATACACACCTCACGTCTTCAAACTCTGCCCTCTCTGCTGGCCTCTTGGCACTCCTCCTGCCTATCTCTGCATACTCAGCAACTTTCCTCTTTGATGGGGACAGGAGTCGGGGAGGGCAGGGCAGGATGGAGACACCATGCACATTCCTGCTTAGCACCTTTGCCCTCCCTCTTCCATCCATGGGAGTCACCTCCCCTAGACCTTCATGTGGCCTGCAACCCCACTTCTCCCTCCCAGAGCCTTCCTAGTGCCCCCAAGAAGTGCCTGCCCTTGCCTGATGCCCCATCCCCTTCTGCTTTTTCCTCATGCTGCTTGTTAGGTTGAAACATAACACCTGTGTTTCAAAACACATGCAGTCAAGTTTCTGTGCATGTGTGTGTGTAGATACACACACACACATATGTATATGTGTGTATATATGTCCTTGTAGTATGTTGCTTTTTTTTCTTTTTTTTGAGACGGTCTCACTCTGTCGCCCAGAGTGTAGTGGTACAATCTCGGCTCACTGCAACCTCCGCCTCTCGGGTTCAAGCAATTCTTGTGCTTCAGCCTCTCGAGTAGCTGGGACTACACGCATGCACCACCATGCCCAGCTATTTTTTTTTTTCTTTTTGTATTTTTTTAGTGGAGATGGGTTTCGCCATGTTGGCCAGGCTGGTCTGGCTGCCTTGACTTCCCAAAGATCTGGGATTACAGGTGTGAGCCACCACACCCAGACGTTAGATTACTTTTTCATTCCCTGTCTACCCACTTCTTGTAAGTTACATGAAAGCAGACACCTTGTGATGATCTATTATTACACCTTGGATGATCTATTACTGTCTCTCCGGGGCCTAGGACAATGCCTGGCACACAGCAGGTGCCAGCTAGCCTTTGTTGGAAGAAAGGAAGGAGAGAAAACGGACCTCCTCTAGATTGGATCCTTGGCTCCTGTGTGCTGATGCACAGCCTGTGACCTGGGCTCTGCACTGCTCCTCTGGCTCCAGGGAATCCTCATGGAAAGGGCGGCCTCCCCAGAGGGCTGAAATGGGCATCTGGGGAAGCTCATTCCTTTGGCTGCCTCTTGCCTTGGGTGCCCAGAGCTACCGTGCCACCTCCTTTGTGAAGCTGGTCCCCAGCCCTGCTTATCAGCCCTATGTCCCATTCCGTTAGCCCAGCAGAGGTAAAGGTGGCTAAGTGCCTTAACTGGGCCAGGTGTGGTGGCTCACACCTGTAATCCCAGCACTTTGGGAGGCCAAGGCGGGTGGATCGCCTGAGGTCGGGAGTTCAAGACCAGTCTGACCAACATGGAGAAACCCCGACTCTATTAAAAATACAAAATTAGCTGGGTGTGGTGGTGCATTCCTGTAATCCCAGCTACTTGGGAGGCTGAGGCAGGAGGATCGCTTGAACCAGGGAGGCAGCGGTTGCAGTGAGCTGTCATTGCACTCCAGCCTGGGTGAGAAGAGTAAAACTCCGTCTCAAAGGGGGGGAAAAAAAAAAAAGTGGCTTAACTGTCCTTGCTCTCATGACCTCTCCATCCCTCTTGCCCCAGTGGTATTTGGCTGTTTTTGTCTGTCTTGTTTTTCCCAGACTGGACCAGCCTTGGGGTTAACCAGGGGCAGGGTGACAACTCACAGGCAATGACGTCCCTCAGCCTCCTTCCCCCCATATTCCAGAGGCTGCAGGTGACTCACGGTCTTCGTCGGTGGCTCCAGAAGCCTTGCAGGTGCCCTGCCACTTGGCTGCTGTGCTGCTGGCTGCTCTGGCAGGTCCTGCCGGTGCTCCTGCTTTCCTGTCCCTTCCCCTGAAGCTGGGAGATGGAGTTTCTCCCTGAGTGATTAATTGGTCTATTTTAAGCTCATCAAAGTAGCCTCGTACTTTCAAGTTTCTCATGGAGCAGGCCCGGAAGATGATACCCGCGGGCTTAAGGCTGCTCCCACTGCAGGATACGGGGTCAGGGGCTGTGTCTGTCAATTGTGAGGTCCCTCAGTGCAGTCCCCCTCCTGAGCTGGACAGGGCTTGGCTCCTGCATGCTGATTCTGCAGCCTGTGGCTCAGCTCTGCACTATTCTCTGGCTCCGGCAAATCCTCATGAAGATAAACCCGGGAGCCCTAAGAGTTGCAGGTTAGCCTCCCACACCCTTCCCTTGCATCATCCTTGCTCCTCTAGCCAGGGACACTCCTGCCTCCTCCCTGTCTCTGCTGGGTTAACACCTGAGCATCTTCTAGCTCGAGAATTCTGTCATGACCCAATATGCTTTCCCTGACCCTCACATCTGGGTTGAGGGCCCTCCTATGCCCTGTATCTAATCCTGGTTTTCCCTCTGTAGCTGGTCAGAGATGGGC